TAGAGAAACTACTGCTGCTCGCTCACTTTTCCGCGCTGTGCACTTACGTGATCTTTATGCGCCCGTAGCCCCCACGGTGACATTTAGTTGTAGGAATGCGCGGGAGCGTCGACGACGCCAACACGCAGCCGGAATGACACACCGTAAACAATAATGCAGCGTTGAAACTCATCTTAATCGGCTTATTAGTCTTCTCTCTCCGCCCGCCGTTTATCATGTCGTGTTCGTCATATATGCGTTCCGCTTAAAGCTGTGCCGGGGTTATAACATTAATACAGCGAACATCGATGTCCCGGAGCGACGTATGAGAATCAAATTAAATCTACTACGTACACTATCGGCTTTTCCACGAAATGAGACATTAATGAAATTACATTAACATTTTAGTAAATTATATCGTTCTCATTCTAATTCAGCCCTCTCGCGATTCGTGTACAAAAATAAATTCAATAGATAATTCAGTATTTGTTAAAACGTCGAGCGTGCAGTTTGCATTTACTATCGAATTACTATTTCCCAAAATTCCAGATACACATTGTTGTACCTCGATCAATTCTGTCGTCCCGATTTTATATGGGAATAAATCTACCTACGCGCGACACGCGCGCACGCAGCATCCGCCGCGTGCGGCACGGCGTCCCGGTCCAGGCGACCTTGCTCCGCTCACTCTCGCACAAAAGCGATCCGCCTATTGATTACGCGCGGGAGGCGCGCACTTGCCAATTTATCGGTAGGCAGAAAACGCGCCAGCGCGGTGTCTCTCGCCGCGTGTGTGACAATAGAAAAGCAGGAAGCTTCTCTCTCTCCCGCGGATTCCATGCAATCAATGAGCTCTGGCGGCGGCGGCGGCGCGACCAGCGCGCGGATTAATCCGGCTTTACGACGTATTTTTTTCGTTCCGGCTCTATTCCGCCCTCGCCTCGCGTACCCCCGGCTCGCCGCGGCTCCCCCTTCATTCCGAGCAAGCCGATATCCCGCCTCGTCGTCGACTCTCCCATTCTCTCTCTCTCTTTTCCCTCGGTCCTTTTTTTCCCCGCTTTCACGTGGGGCCTACCCGGCTTCAAAATACTGCAGAGAGCGCATTAAGAGGCAAAGTCGGTCCGCCGCGCCAATTACATTCGAGGCGATCGTAGTTTTCCCTTCCCGACTTCGGTGGCGGCGAACGAATGAATTCCATGGGATTTAAGCGACTTGGGATTCGACAATACTTTCACCGGCCCTTACATACGTCGTCGAGGTGACAAGAAATTGTCATTTTATTCGAAAAAACGTGCGTCTTAAAATAATAATTAAAATAGTTGATCTTTATCCTTTTTTTTTGTATGGATCAATCAATATAAAAGAATTTGCTAAATGTTTCATATTAATGTGATTACGTCAATTAAGCGATTGTTCGTATCCGGAAGTCTTGAATTGAATAATGAATATGTTAATTATAATCACGGCGGTGCGTATGCTATTTCTAGAGGTATGCATGTCGCGCGTCAATAAATACGAAACTTTATGGCTGAGGAATGTTTCCAGGATATTATTAATTTGATTGTGTATTCAGCAATGACGCAATTATTCAAAATAATCGACCACTTCGCTAATTTCGCTTCGAGAATGGCTTCTCGGGCGGCTGTATGTGGCGGCGACAAACTTCTTATTGCTCGAAAATGTCGCGCGCGCGCGCATCGAAAGTTTAAGAAAACTGCCCGAAGAAAAAAAGTACGGCTGTCGCCGTCGCGATGAGGGTGAGAAAAAGTTTTCAGCGAGGAACCAACAAGAGCGGGTGGCAAAGTTTTACATAGTTATTCCGGATTATTAAATAACGTTACCCCTCCTCGTATATACCTTTAGTAAATAGCGCCGACAGCCACAAATAGACCAAGCAATAAAAAAAAAGCAGACTAACTCACGATGTATTTTCCTCTTTTATGAACAACTTTACTCGGCACGTTTCATTACGCCGTTAAATATCTGTGGAAACGTATATATTAAACAAAAAACACCAGTTCTTTCATTTGATATCAGAAATATTTATCGAGATTGACAACGGCAATGCGAATTCGGATTGCGAGCTCTAATTAACGAACTTTTATTGCGCGTTAAATAACGATCGGAAACCTTTGTGTTAATTAGGCAACCGTATTTTACAACTTTGCGAAAACACGGTGGAGCGAGAGCGAGCCTCGGGCCTGCTAGGAATAAAATTTATGCGATCCGATACAAGTGCAATCTTCCCCCAACATTCGCCGCCGCGAGCGCGATGGTCGAAATACTGGAGGAGAAAGGCGGAGATATACTTCACGGCAATTGAGACTAAATTGAACTCTACCTGGAAGTAAAAGAAATCGAGGTGCAGTTGCCTCGTTCGACTTTCACGTTGGGCAATTCGATTACGAGTTATGAAAGCGATTTACACTGCGCGATTTACCATACGCGCGTTTAACGCCCACGTGTGTGTAAAATAAATTTGCGCCGTCGCACCGTGAGACTTTAATTTTCGAGCAAATAAATTCGCGCGTGCAATCACAATGTACGGAAAACAACATTTGTAACACGTTCTCGTGTCATACAAATTTCAATGCTCACAATCAGTTATATGGCAGCGTAAACCTTTTATTCAGCGGTCTTTGCCAAGGCTATCTTGACTTGAAGAGTTTCTAAAGAAATATATGTTGACATTGTAAATTACGAGAATGTGCAACTAACTTTTCAACGTACGGCATACAATGAATTAGCTACATAACTATTTTAAGATAAAAATATTTCTATTCGAAGATAAACGATGTAACTAGTCTATTACCTTAAATAGAGATAACGCGTAAAAAATATGACATTTAATGTCAAATATTTCTATTGACAGAATAGCTTGCCACATCGTATTATCATATCGTGACTCATACGTCAAATGAGATAACTTCTAATATTCTAAATGTGATACTTAACGAATACAAAAAAAGAAAATTAATTGAGTAGAGGAAACGTAGGTTAAATAATCTTAAATATTCAACAAGCACCGAGCTCGTAGATGTTCGATACAGATTACGATTTGCGTCAGTAGCTGATTTTCGACGACGCGATAATTACATTTCTCATTCCGTGCCACTATTAGCTCCACTTTTCATGCTGCGCTGACGCAAAAGTGCTTCTTTCCCAAGAAAACAAATTAAAAAGATTGGCATCGGCACCGTTGCCCAAGTTAATCGTAGAAGTAGGAAGCAAGCAGAATACGTCGTGCCTTATCGCGCGATAAGCGTACTCCAGACGCGCGCCCGGGGCTTTTATATCCGTAAGGTTCATAAATTAAGCGAAGCCAGTTAACATCGTAGAAACAAGGACGAGGAGTGGCTGCCACGTTGGCATGGAGTCGACGAGGAATAAATTTAAACACGTCCGTCTGGCACCTAAATGTGTCTCGCGAATTATTGCTCGATTTGCGGGATACTCACGACGTTACTGCGGCTAGTCTCCGCGTTTGAGGAAAAAGAGAGAAAAAAGAAGATAGATCGAGACTCTGTCTCTTGCTGCGTTCAGACATTCTCGATATAGCGGGGCGCATATAAACATACGATATTAAGAGTGGAATGACAATAAATTTTTATCGAGGGAAAAGGAGAGAGGGAGATTTGTAAACAACGTGAGGAATATAACACATTTTTTATCCATTCCTTCGATTCCAATATTTTTTATTAAAGCGACCCCAAGCTTGACGACCAATTTCAAATTTAATTTTTCCTCCGAAAGATAGCCCAGTAATCTCGATTAACATACAAATGAGACTAGTGATTTATTCAATTTGCAAGATACGATGAGTAAAATAATGCTAAGGTCGTATCGCCGCAAAAAATAATCGCGCGTTAATTTTTTCCTGAAGAAATAATTCTACATTATTCATAATGAGGATAATATTTATTATTAATATGTTGCAATTGCTATCTTTCAGTTTTTTTTAATATATTTATTTTATTCCGAAATCAATTTTTAATGCTGTAATATTGCTTTACGTGCCATTGTTAAGTATTACATTTAGAATTTTAGAAGTTATCTCATTTGACGTATGAGTCATGATATGATAATACGATGTGGCAAGTTACTCTGTCAATAGAAATATTTGACATTAAATGCCATTTTTACGCGTTATCTCTATTTAAGGTAATAGACTAGGTAACATCGTTTATCTTCGAATAGAAATATTTTTATCTTAAAATAGTTGTGTAGCCAATTCATTGTATGCCGTACGTTGAAAGATTAGTTGCACATTCTCGTAAATTACAATGTCAACATATATTTATTTAGAAATTCTTCAAGTCAAGTAGCCTTGGCAAAGACCGCTGAATAAAAGGTTTGCGCTGCCATATAACTGATTGTGTGCATTGAAATTTGTAATGACACGAGAACATGTTACGATAGAACAGAGCACGATAGAATTGCTTTTAAAACTTTTATACATTATAATGTCATAAAACATCGACACAAAAATGTAGTAAATTATGTGAATAGAATCTTAAACAAGGGAACAAAAACAATCTGGAATAAATTTTTATTATGGCTTCGAAGCGCTTATGCTAATAATGTTATTAATGATATGCACTATTCAAACACGCCACGCGGCGCTCTCAACGACAGAAAACCAAAAAGAGATATAAGGCGCGACTGAAAAAGATGCCCGTCGACACGTACGTGGGAAAGACTATCGTTCTCGACGTAAGAAAAAAATATCATTTTCCAGCAGATCAAAAATAAAAGGGAGTTCTTGCCGCATGCAGTCGAGTTCTATAATTCCTGATACTTTTTAGCGATCGACTGTTTTTTGAGTGAAATCACCAGAACTATTACTAATAAGTATCAGGAACTATAGAACTCGACTGCATGCGACAAGAATTCCCTTTTATTTTTGATCTGCTGGAAAATGATATGCCAACTTCACAGACACGCTTGTTCGCTACGCGATAGCGCTTGACGAGATAAATCGAAAACCACATTGATCACTGATAATAGCGATAATAACTCACCTGATGTAAATGATGACCCCGTTGGTGCATATCCTTTTCCATCCACGTGGCACGCTGATCGCCGACAGTTGCTGTTGTTGTTGTTGTTGCTGCTGCTGCTGCTGCGTAACCACCGCACTACCGTTCATTGTCAACACCACTGCGTTATGCTGCACACCATTATTGTTACTACCGTTGACACGCGACGGGGGCTGCTGCCGCGCAGCCTGCTGCGCGCACGCACTACCACCGCCGGGATGATTATTACTCGCCACCGGCATGCCACCGTCGTGCTGTCCCGGCTGCTGATGACTCTGACTCTCGTCAGGGCTGCTGAGGCTGCTGTAGGTCGTCATCGACGACTCGTCGGACCTCACCGAGTCACAACCGCCGGACGCGGCACCACTACCAACACCAACACTGCCGTCACCAACACTGACCACTGTCGCGCCCAGCGCCGACGTCGGCGCCGAGGAGGCGGCCTGCTGATCGAAACCGTCCTGCTGCCGGCTCTTGTCGTCCACGCTCGTCGCCGCCTGTTGCTCGCCGGCGTTTTGAAGCGCGATACCGTTACTACCGCCGGTGGACGTCGTGGTACCGTACGCGACGCATTCGTCGTCACCACCGAGAAGACCGACGTCGCCCGGATCCCGCATCGGTCGCGCCGCGACGATTCTATTATTGTTCGTCGTGGCGTTATACTCGCCGCTCAACCTCGCGGAGTACGCGTCACCGGCGACGCCGTGCTGGAGCCGCGCGGTCTGATACGTCTTCGCGCCGGACACCATCGGATCGTTGTCCGCCGTCGAGCGTTCTCCGTTCTCCGATGCTCGCTTGTTCTCGCGCGACCCCGCGACGCGCGTCATCATCGCCGTCGTCGTCGTCGACGTGGCGCACACTGTCGTCGAATGCCCCAGGTTGGCCTGTCGATACAGCATCGCGTAATCCTCCTCGTCCTCGTTGGTCGCCAGAGGAGGAGCATGTCTGGACTCGCAGCCATCCGCTCCGGTCGTCGCCACCGCCGTAGTCGTTATCGTCGTCGTCGTCGTCTCGAGCGACGGTTTCAGACGGCAACAGCCGATCGCGGGGGTGGTGGTGGTGGCGGAGGTGGCGTTGTTCCCTACGTTGACCCCGCTACTGCTGTCGTCGGCGCAATACACGGCAGTTTTGGCGGGAAAGGTCGTCGTAACCGCCTGCGCCGTCGCCACCTGCGGTGCCTGCAGGATACCGGCGTACTGCGTCGTCTGCTGCTGCTGCTGCTGTTGCGGCTGCGACTGATAACCGACCGCGATAGCGGCAGCAGCGGTTGCGGCGACATTCTGACCCACCGCCGTGGCGTACGCGAAGTTCTCCCCCGACACGTACACCAGAACGCTATTCTGCTGTATAGCTTGCTGCTGCTGTTGATGCGCGTGCTGTTGCTGCTGCGCCTGTTGCTGTTGCACTTGCTGCTGCTGCTGATGATGATGATGATGATGCTGCTGATGCTGATGGCCGTGACTCGGGGGAGCAGGGAGCGTGGACGGCTGCTCAGGCTTGCCGGCCATGGTCCAGGTCCAGCAGCGCTGCGGATGACCCTGACGACACCCACGACATCACTGGCACGACGTGGCACGTAGCTCGCCTACGTGGGGACACCGGCGGCGGGTACTGCCGCATCCTCCGCGAGAGCCGGCTCACGATTCCTCACGCGCTCGACGATGACGACGAACCTCCTGTGGTCCACGAATTATCCTCGCGCGCGCTCTCACCGATGTCGCTGTTCCACGTCGCGTCGCGTCTCTCCGCGCGGCACACGTAGCACGACATAATATACGCGAATCCGCACCGGGTTGAAATGCTCGCGCGACTCGGACACGGACACGAGCGTGGATCCCCCGGAGGGGGCGGGGGGAAGAGGGTTCTCGCGTCCCTCCCCTTGCGGAAACGGCGGGAAAGGGAATCGCTCGCTCCCCTACGTCGCGCGTACTCGAAACCGGCGCGTGTTTGGCGCGCGTAGTACACACTGTCGCTGTCGCTGCTCGCCGCCGGTCAATGGCCGTCTAACCTCCTTGACGCGCCAGCGGGGATCGCCGGGCACGGCGCGCGGGACGCGCCGACGGATGCGTTTTCTCCCGCGAGATTCGACGATCGGCGGCGGCTCGGCTCCTCGGCTTCCCTCCTTCGGTTCCGCTCGCTCCTCGCTCCTCGCTCGTCTTCCTTCTCCTTCCCCTCCTTCTCCACCGCCTCCACCGCCTCCTCCTCTTCCGCCTCTTCCTTTCCTGAGGTAAGACGTACGCTCGTCAAAATGTCGCAGCTGGTGACACGTCGTCGCACGCGAACGCGATCGGAATTCGAAACGGCGCCATCGGGTGCCGGCCGGCCGGCTGACGTTTTCCCTCCGCGTTTCCGCCGCTTTGCTATCGCTCTTTCTCTCTCTAATCTCCCACTTTCAGAAGACTCGGTGCCGCGGCACGGCGACGTTCCACGCCGCGTCCTCTTGCCGCGCGGTCGAGCGTTGCACACGTCGCGAGTCGTTACGTAGCATGATCGTGCGCGAGGCGGCGGCAGCGGCGTCGAGCAAGGTCGCGACTGCCGTTAACTCGACTCGATTGACTCGAAACTCTCATAGCCGGCCCGAGGCCCGAGGCCCGAGCCGCTCGTTTATCGGCGGGGAATTACGTCTCTCTCCGAAGCGGAGCGAGCGAGAGCCTACGTACGCGCGAAAGGTCTCTCGCTCTCGGCTCAAGGTGACGGCCCGTGGTCGTATAGTTGCCGCCACCCGCCGTGTTCACTGTTCGCGGGTCCCCGCCGCCGCGACGCGAAATCGACGAGGATTCCCCCCGATGTCGCGGCGCGCAACTGCGTCGCGGCTTAATCCCGGCACCCGGCACCCGGCGATTCGAAATCGAAGCGCGCCCCACCGACACACTCGTTAAAACGGATCGAGAGTCCTTCGAAAACTCGCGCCTTACTTCACAGCCACCACAACATTACTCCGTCCCTCCGATCGAGTCGTCGCGCGTACGCACTCCCGAGTACGCGAACGCACCGAAGACACGCACTCAATTATGTCATTACGCCGAACGGCACGCCGCTTGGGATATCGCGAGAGATGGGTGGAAGGGGAGGGGGAGCGAAAAAAAACCCGTCACGCAACCGACAATCACGATCCCGGCGAATGCGATAACGCGGCCGAGCGGCGTGCCATCTCCCTCGACACTGACTACTGACTGCGTATATGCCGCGGCTTTAATCGCGCCGGACTTCAGGCGGCTCGGCTCGGCTCGAGTCGTCCGCGGTCGGCGCTCGATCGGTAAATATGGCGCGAACGCGCACGCCGCGTTCCGTACGAAAGAGAGGAACGGCAAAAAAAAAAAGAGAGACACACTTTTACGCCGCTGGCGTAACGATTCGGGTTAAATCGCGCACGGACGGACGAACGTCGTGTTGTGACGCTGTGTCATCGTCACAGCAGCAGCCGCAGCAGCAGCAGCGAGTATCACGACCACCACCACCGGCACTCTTCCACCACCACCATCACCATTTCCACTACCTCGTACTCTCGTACCACCACCACTACCGCGCGACGGCCACCACTACTACCTTCCTACTACTACCACGTATCACCACTACGAGCGCGGTTACGAACTCTCGGGTTAAGTTAACTAACCCTCTCGCCGTGCCGAACACCTGCGCGGTCCGCGCTACTCCGTTTCTCACGGAGCGGCCTCACCTCCCCGCTCTCCCTCACTCTCTCTCTCTCTCTCTCTCTCGCCCCCCCGGGTGTTATTATATTATTTTCGGTTGACAAGCGACGGCAGCGGCGCGGACGCGGCGAGCGGCGACGGCCGTACGCGCGTCGGATAATCGCGTACGCCGTTCTGCGTTTTAACGCGGCCCCGAGACTCCACTCTCACCGCCGGCCGACACGGACGTCGCGCGGCCGATCCGCCGATCGGAATGCCGTGCCCGCCAGATGCTGTGCCCGGTGCGCTACGCCGTTTTCGCGTAACTGATATTGAAAAAATATGGCTCCCACCGCATACCCAGAAACCTCTGCGGCATCCCGACTCCCGACGGCTGGCTCTGCGCCTGGCTGACACTCTCGCCACACTCGGGCCACTCGCACGTCACTAAGCACGTCGCTAAAAACATCGACCCGCTCGCCGCGACTCGCGAGCTCGAGCTCTCGCGAGACGCGAGGCAGCGGTCGCGCGCGACTCGCGACGGTGCCGCTATCGGTCGGACGGGACGCGCGTTAATTTCGCGGTCGTCCTCGCGGGCTTATTCGATATCGCGTCTCTTTTCTCTCCGTAGAATGGCCGATGACTCCTTCTCTCTCGCGCAGAACGAATGAATCCGTCATTCACGGAATGCAGGCGAAATAACGAGCGATTCGTGAATCGACGTTTCACAAATATGTTTATCACGAATCTTCGCATATCGCGCGCGAATTGGCGAATAATTGAAGGCTCACAAATTTATAATTATTTATCGAATAATCGATTGCACGAATGGCAAGCTAACGTAAAAAATTTACTCCGTTTTAATTTCATTCGCGTAAAAGCTCACTTTTTAATCCCATTTATTTTATTTAGTTTTAAAATAAATAGAATCTCCTCTCGTTATTGAAAATTAATTTTGACGTTACCTCTTTCTTCTATTTCTAAAACGAAAACTACAAGGAGGCAAATCTATAAATTAAGTATTACGTCATTAGCGATTAATCTGCGCGTTTACTTGCGACGAATTAGTAAATCTTAGGGGGAAATTACGTGGAACAGTGTTTCGATTAATCGAACCATGCGAGGAATTTCAGGTCCGATTTTGAAAAGGGCGTAAAATCGATAATCTCATTTTACAGTTCCAAATTTATTTGAGACGCTCAAAAAAAGTACCTAATCAATCACCAATTTTTCCTATAATAAATAAGATTACAAGACATGTTGGCTATTTATTAAAATTCGCTATAGTAACTGCGGACGAGTACACGACCATGTATACAGTAAATTATGTGAATGTGTATTGAAAGTATATTAATTTAATATAGTACAGAATCTATGAATTATCTAGAGCATTTGTTCATGCGCGTTGATGAAGATAAACGGTGAAAATGACCCAATAAACTTGTAGAAATATATCTATTAAGAAAAGATCATTTTTTGTTTATTTGTTTGCATAAGTTTCCACAGGAAGGAAATCACTAAATTGACAACCATTGATTTTACTAAAATATGTAATAAAATATCAGCATTGGCGAATGTAAAGAAGGGAAATTATTAGATCCGACACAGTATCATTGCACAGAAGCTGCTTATGAATACGCGCAATCGTCCACACACACACATACAGGAACCTGATTCCCCGTTTTATTTGCATCATTTGCAAACAAAATTGTGTTTCCGTTATCATCGTCACACGCCAGTATACAAAAGCGACTGGAAAAAATTAAATACTACGAATATGGAATAATGTCCCACTTTGAAAAGTTTCAAGATCTCTAATACGATTGATAACGTTACATTAAGGCTTTAACCAAGCGTAGTTTATACCGTTTCCACATTGATTGACACATCCCGAGATTATTTCAAGTTCTAGAAAACTGTAAAAGACAATTTTCAGGCTTAAAAATCCTGAGTAAACAAGTTTGCTGCTATTAATATCTGAAGGAAGTAATCGTATACGGATAATTCACATAATTGAACTAAATAAACATATATGAATTTTAACTCTATTTTTAGCCATGTAGTATTTACTGTCGAGCTGCTAGCTGGTTATTGGAGCGATACACGTGGTCAAACATCAGAGACAATCGCGATGTTCGAGAATACATGATGCCTTTCATTATGCTGTAACGTCTGGCGTCGGAACTTTACGTTAAATCTAAATAAATTTAAATTTTCTTATCATTGTGTAATGATAAGTACACATTTTTAGTGATCCTCTATCGAAAGAAACAACATAGTTACATAGACAAACTAAAATTCTAATAAAGCATCTTATTTATAAGTATCTCAGTAAGATGCACTTTAATAAGATCCTTCATCGGGAAAGAGATATGCTTTTCGCTAGGTGGTAACGATTATCTACTTTCAAGATCGTATGATATTCCGCGTAAAAATTAATAAAGTTAAAGAATCAATAACTACAGTACTCACTGTTTTGCGTATCCAAACAGTCGAATTATTTCAACTTCTTTTTCACTCATTGAACAATTTGCCTATATATATCCATGTTGTTTCTTGGGCACGATACAGAATCGAGCGAATGGGACAGAGAGTTCGAAATGAAAGAAACGGCTATGTTTATTACAGGGTTAGTGTAATCAAATTAATGTGTGGCACATTGGACTCGCGACGGACCCCCCTCGTCCTCTTCATACGCTTGTCTCGTGTCTCTCCGCCTTTGCTCCTGCTCAGGATCTAAGTCAGTAAGTAAACACTCCTCGGCACCGTCTGGAATTATAACCTCTTCTCTCGGTGGCAGACACTGCTCCAATGCCGGGATAAGCGATGGTTCTATGCTCTTCGGGAAATTGACTATAAATTGTATTATAAGTCTGCCGTGTGTAAACGGATCCTTGTAAATCGGCATGCCCTCGTTCAAGATGCATTTCAGGTCACCGTGTTTTGTCACGGTGCCGGGAAGTGAGGTTATCACTAAATCTCTACCATCCAAAGTGCGAATCACTTTCTGGAATCCACATAATGCCTCTACAAGTTCTAGTTGCATTCGCATGATCAGATCGTTCCTCGAACGCCTGTAATTTAATCAATCGCGGCGTATTAATAACAGTTAAATAATGAGTCAATAAATATTCTGAAATAAATAGTCTGAAATATTACTAACTTGAATACTTCATGATCTTTCTCTTCGAGAATAATAACTATATCGCCAGGTTCCAAGTCTGGTTCCTGATCACCCTCGCCGCTGAAAATTATCTTCTGACCATCGACCATCCCCGGATCAACGTGAACCTCAAGTATCTTTCTATCTCTAGTAGTCTTTCTTCCGTTGCAGTACTTGCAACGATCACGGGGATTGATACGCTCTCCCTGTCCCTTACACTCTGTACACATGGTTTGTAAGTGTTGCAACATTCCCGGACCTAATTGCTGGATTTGTACTTGTAAGCCAGAGCCATGACAAGTCGAACATTGCTCAACGGAACCTTTCTTTCCACCGATACCTAATAGGAAAAAAAGGAAATCGTTTTCTCTTGCCACAGATACACAGATATAGATGTTTTTAGAATTATAACCGTTCTCACTCCATAAAACCGTTTACCTTCGCATTTTTCGCAGATGACATTCTTTTGCAGAGCGAGTTTACGAACAGTTCCCTTGTAAAGTTCCTCGAGAGAAACTGATAACTGATGCATGACATCCTGACCTCGGCGATCTCTCCTCCTACCTCCTCGTCCGCCAAATCCCCCGCCAAAGAACATATCGAAGATGTCCATAGGAGAAGAGAAGCCGCTACCACCCATACCGCCTTCTTTCAAAGCTTGCTCCCCACCTTGATCGTAGATACGCTTCTTCTCAGGATTCGACAATACCTCATACGCTTGAGAAATTTGCTTAAACTAAAAAAACATACGATATTTCGTAAATATTAGATTTTATCATGTGTAACGCGATATACATTTAAAATTTTAAGATTCAGTTTTATTTTTATTTCTTTTCTTTGCATACGAAAACCTTTTCTCCTTCATTAGGATTCTTATCGGGATGATATTTCAGAGCCAGCTTTCTATAGGCCTTCTTCAAATCTTCCTGCGAGCATCCAGGCTTCACGCCCAGTACGTCATAAAATGTAGTCTCCTTAACCATTTTCACGTGTTAAGAAGTTCGTGTTATGTTAAAAACGCTCCTGCTGAAACCAAGAAAAAAAATATAATAAATTTCTCAATTTTTTAATTAAAGGTGCTGCCAATACATGACAATTTTCCTTACAGATAAAAACGCTTAAAACACAAGTTTTACATTCTTAAGGGGAAAAAAAATGCACATGCATAATGAATTCCCTCAAAATGTCACATCACTTAATCTACCGATAAAATGACATCAGAGGAATCATATACGCTCTATTCGTTTCATTGATGAAGCAAACAACCCGAGATGTTGCGACATACGCAGGCACGACCAAAAAGGTATAGTCACGTTTAGCTCATAATTAATTCATAAACAATAATTCTAAAACGAATGCATCGCTTTTGTAGCGTTGCATAATTGGATCTAGACTCAATAATACTCATAAATTCTAACATGGTCAGATGTGATCGGAGAGTGAGAGCGCGTAATGCGACTATGCAACTTGGAGTTGTTCTCAGGAATATTTAAATTAACAGCTCAAGTTGTTACATAAAGTGCAACGGATAACAAAAGCACTTGGCAACAAATGGCCCCAGGAGAAGAACTTCCGTTCTGACCTTGAATTTCAAATTGTACTTATATCTAACAGCGAAAAAGGAGAGCAAAACCAAAAACGGGGAAAAATATTGAGCAATAAATATTCGTTTCTTTCTCTTTTTTCCCAATTTTTAATCATGATTTATTTCAAGTCTCGCAACTTGCACGCGGACAGTTCTTCGCGCAGCTCCAGAGGTTCGCCCGTAAATCCAAAGAACGCAACACTCGTGCGTGGATTCATGCGAGTTTCAAAATGGCGTCTACGGCAGGGCTGGGAGTATATATTGAGTAGACCAGCGAGCGGAGGATTTTAAAAGGCGAGGCGCGTGTCGCGGACGCTTCTCGAACAAAGAGACCCGTCTCTTCGCTTCCCGGAGTCTTCCGGTGTCGTGCAGGTATACCGAGCGCATGCGGTTCCCCCGAGCAGGATGAAAAAATCGGCAGTACGGGATAAAAAAAAACGTTTGCCGGATCGCTCGCGACGAATTTCGCTCGCTCGGAATTCGATATATGACGGCTATGACGCACGCTGTCGCGAGAGAAGCGCGTTTCTCCGTGATAAGCGAGTTTCTGCTATTTCCTTCTACCTCCCTCCCTTTCTCTTTTTCTTTCTCTTAGCCGTCTTAGCCAATGCCGCGGGTGCATCGTCGATCGACGCGAGTCAGGGAAGCGTGCACGAAGGCTTGAGAGCCAGGTTACTGGCTTCCACCATCTTTCTTTCCGAGCTCGCTGTCGCAACGCGAGTACTCGCCCTGGCCGATCAGCACGACTCGATTGAACTCGATTCCCGCTTCGTAATGTCCAGTCCAGCTAATGTGCAATCGTGCGAAATATATCGCCGCGCAACCTTCGACCGTCCGCTAAGCCGTCCCTTTCCTCGCCCCCCTTCGCTGGCTCCGGTAACCGTTACGCGAACTCGGACCAGGAGGAATCGCGACGAGACTCCCAACTCCGTGGACAGCGGTTCCGAGAAGTTCTAGACGTGTCTACGCCTCGCGCGCGAGTATGCCAGTCGCTGACTGCGCCTCTCGGAGCGAGCGAGCGAGAGAGAGAGAGAGATCGCGCGGGCGGACCAACCGACCGATCGATCGATCATGCGACTTCGTCCGCCCGTTGCTCGCCCGCACGGGCCACCGTCGGATCGGCGAACGCGCGAACGAATCCGCAACCTCGACAACGGGGATCTCGCGATTTCGCGAGAACCACTTACCTGCTAACGTAAAAGCGACGAGGCGAGTGTCGCCAAGGATGACCGCGCACGTTTCGCACGAGCCTCGTTCCGTCCCCGCGTCCGCGTCGCAACGTTTCACGTACCGAACTGAACGACTGAAGAAGACTGAACCCCGTGCGCCCACGTCGCCTGCCGATATTGCCGCCTGTGCAGCGCGCTACGTTCTCGAAACTTCCTAGAGAACGGCAATGGTCAACGTCAGGCCGACGGTCGTGCGCCAATCAGCTCCGACCGACGTTGGCGGAAGCGCTACGCGCGCACGGCACACGGCCCCTTTCGAAAGTTCCCGTCGCAATTTCCACGTCGGGCCGATCAAGCAGTTTCACGATCGACAATTGTGCGCATCTATTTTTTTTTTTAATTAAAAGATGAAAGACATGCCATGTTTTCCTTCTTTTTAATGTATAAAAGATTTTACATGGATAACTTCTTTGTTCGTAATGGATTTTACATGGATAACCTTTTATTTGTATCGCATGATTATCTCGATTTCGGCGAATGATTTTTGGGAAATTGAACCACGTGGAGCCATTAATATATGTATAATTAAATTTTTAGATATTTGGTACATATATTTTTTAAAGAAATTAATTTGAAAATCATAATATATCGCATTTGCGACAAGGCGTGTATGTAAAATAAAATATTGAATATTAATTTTTCTTACATATAATCACATTTCTTATTGTCTATTATATAATCACATTCTTCTTGTTATTTTCTCCTTATTGAAATGTTTTTTTCTTCATAGAGAGATACGATAATTATTCTCGCGTCTCGGCTGCAAATATTCCTAGAAATTAATCCTCTGTTGTTAATTTCGAAGCGATTCAGTATCTTAAATCGTTTGAACCTAATAAAAGCTTGAAAATTAGATGCAAAATTTTTAACCATTTTTAATCGATAGTGCCGGGCGTAGGTATGTATAAACAATAAAAAAAGGTTTTTCTATTGTGTAAAAATATCACGTGGGTGCGCGATGTAGACGCCGTGTGATCTATCGCAGATGGCAGTGCACGTTTCCGTGCGTGCATGCCGTGAAATTTCGTGTCTTTTTCCGAGCGGTACGCTAACCGGTCAGAATGGTATGTAATTTGTATCGAGGAATTCTGCAATAATCGTCCAACGAAACGTGCGACGTTTGATTGAGTATTAAATAATGGCATCTAATAAAGTACGTGTCGCGTGTATTAAGTTCGGGAAGTACCGATTGCGAGTAGCAATGCTAATCGTTAAACGCGACGTGACATAACCTCGGATGAAAATACATGTTTGTTATTTGTGACGCTTAATAAATGAGGACTATTAACTGAAACTTTTTAATTTTATTTATCATATTATTTATCCTTGCCATAGAATGCAATAGAACAGCTGCGTTCTCCAGTCTATTTTCGATACACTTAGATGCACTCTAATAAAATAACCTAACTTCATAAATAAAGAGACTTATTTTGATTCTTGCTTACAGACGGAAGGTACAGCTACCATCAGAACGAGAAAGTTCATGACCAATCGGCTCCTATGCCGAAAACAAATGGTGAGTGTGTGAATCGAGTGATCTATGATTTCTATATCTATTAGCCAATTATTATTGATGATTTATATGTACCAACGTTTTGTTTTGTGCAGGTCGTAGATGTAATCCATCCTGGACAACCATCGGTTCGTAAGACTGAGATACGTGAGAAACTAGCTAAGATGTATAAAGTGACCCCAGACGTCGTCTTTGTGTTTGGCTTTCAAACCAACTTCGGCGGTGGTAAATCTACTGGGTTCGCGCTTATCTACGACACCTTGGACTTTGCAAAGAAATTCGAACCTAAATACAGGTTAGCAAGGCATGGTCTCTTCGAGAAACAGAAACAAACCAGGAAACAGCGTAAAGAACGCAAGAACAGAATGAAGAAAGTTAGGGGTACTAAGAAGAGTAAAGTTGGAGCAGCGTCTAAAAAGGTAGGCGAAATAATGTTAAATATATTTCTTACATGAACATATGACCATACTTCTTGCTCTATTACTCAAACGTTATAATGCTGTAACATTGTAAAAATTTTTCTTTATTCTTTCTCACTGTTGAATGCTTTTCAATATAAGATATCTTTTGCATGTTGAAATAATGTTTCTTTTTTCTTAATTATGGGGGTTTTGGCTTAAATTTCTTAAATTAAAATTATAATCGGCCTTAAATTATATATTCTACACGATGTGGAAATCTTTTTCTCTTTGTTTTCATTTAGGTAATTTTATTGTATTAATAAACTACTTTATTCGAGAAAATCAGATAGTTTGCATATAGAAATAAATTTTATTACATAGCACAATGAAGTTCTTAACATTATTGAACGAATAACCATAAATACATGATAAATATTCACATATTTTGTAGAAAAACTTCTATTTAACAGATTTTTTAAATTTACTAGTTTGAACTTTTTATATACCTCATAATACAATAGTTGTGTAAGAAGTTGTGTAAATAGAAATATAAAAAAAATATAAAAGATTTCTTATTGAACATAATAGTGTTTATGGGCAATTCAGAAATAAATTTTCCTTTGGTCTGATGTTTATTGTGCATGCTACGGTGGTATACGCTTCTTATTCACATTCTAGGGAAGGAAATAGAGAAATGATCATCATTTGTACTACAGACTTCTGGAGGGGCAATATCTTGTTGCTTAATCAGGGTCAGCATGCAAATCTTTAAGTTTCATACTTTTGTTCCTTGTTAATTGTATGAGCATGCTAATAATTTGTTAAAATACTTCTGTATAACTTCTGAATGTTATATGTGATGTTCTGTTTTTTATGGTTTATTTATTATATTGCTAATCACAATTCTAATGTTTCAATAATGTAAAAATATATTTTATTTATATAATATGAAAATGCAATAATTTTATATAGGCTGTTATATTTTCATATTAGACATAATAAGCGTCTTTAACGATGTAGAGTATTGTATAAATTTAGAAAATGCATAATCAGGTAATACAGGACTTGATTACTTATTTATATTTGCATTTTACTTGTTAGTAAATTAATTTTAGGTCTACCACTAAAACGTGTTATCTAATACTGCAATTAAAATTAAGCTTTTGCTATACTATTCACATTTTATTAAAACTAGTGATTAAATGTCAAATTAAATTATATTTTTAAAAAGAAAAAAATATAATTAAATTTGTCAGAAATTTAACCTTTGTTCTTTTTTGTAAAAGCTTTGGTTTTAATGAATTACAAATACGTTAACAAACTAACAAACAATTTTACTTTATCTTAAAGTTTAGTCTGTTACATATGCATTCTATATCAGTGTAAAATTAGATGTGCACGAAAATTGCTAACATCTAAATAATTTTGAAAATACTTTAATGTTATATTATATTGAATTTCTTGTTAGTGTATATACTTTTTATATTTAATACGCTTGAGAGAGATAATGCTTTATATATTAACTACAGATATATGTATATGTGCTGTCGTACTTCCATGACAATTTGTATATTGCAAAATTTGTTAAAATGTGCATGTTAAGCAGTTGATTTTAAGTAAGAAAGGAAATATTCTTTTTGAATATACACAAAAAATTCTTTTTTTTCTATTACAGTAAAAGAAGCCATCTTGAAGACCACGATCATCGACGTAAAAATTATTATATTTTACTATGGAATAGCGCTGTAATTATAATAAATTTTACGGAATAAACGTGTATTCTTCTTGATGAAAATCCATTTCGCCTTTCTCTTGACATCTCGTGAAAATCCCTCGTTAAAAAATTTATTATATTGTATTTAGTTAATGTTCTGTTATCCCCATAAAAATAATATTCAAAATTTCAGGTTATTTGAGTGGAATGACTAATATTTGAGATTTAATTAATTTTTTCTAAGATATATTTGTTTATATAAATCTATTTAAAAATTCAAATAATTATTTTTGTCGATTTTATTTTACCTATTTTTAGCATGTTAATATTTTTAGATCTAATTAATATGTATTTACAACTGATTTACTTTAAAACTTTATTAAGAAAGATTGGACCAAGACATACATCTGAATTTATTCTCTGATAATATGTAACTTGTTTTTAAATTATGACTTCGGCAGATGCTGGACGAGGTTTCTTTGTGGTACGTTTATTGATGGTCTCGTTCTCTTCTACTCGCTTGTTGAAGATAGGTAAAGTCAGTTCGGTGGACGTTATAGGTGACTCATTGACAGTAGTAATAACAGTTACCTCTTCAGTGGATGTCACGCTTGCTTCAGACGCTTCAGTAGTAATTTCAGAAGATTCGATAGATGTTTCAATTGATTTAACAGAAGTCGATTCAGTGGACGATATCGGTTCGACAGTAAGCACAGTAGACTCGATGGATGGAACAGTTTTTTCGGTAATTGTCTCGATGGATATTACTGTAGATTCGGTAGGTATCGTACCTAGTTCACTGTCCGTTACAACAGATTCACTAGAAGTCAAGATTTCTTCAGTTGACGTTGCATTCGGCTCTACCGAAGTTGTAATTAACTGGGTAGTAAGTGAAATCGATTCGGTAGAAGTTACGGTAGCCTCAGTGGTCGTTACAGTTGATCCAGTAGAAGTTAAGGCTGATTGCGTTTCAGTAACAGTTTGGGTCGTCCGTTGTCTCGATGTAGTCGATTCGATCTTCGGCGTAGTCGTTGGAGATTGCGTAGTTTCAGAAGTTCCGAATTTGCGGAAGTCGGGCGTCCACTCGATCCCGAATGTGGGTGGCGAGGGCAGATTCGGTAACCAGGGCCTCATATCCCACTCATCCGAATCACTGTCGTAGTCATTGCCTGCAACTTTCCGGATGATGTACCATTTACCAATCCGGACGCCCCAATCTCGTTTTGGGTCAAAAGTTAGGCTAGCTATTATCATGAAAAAAATTAACAAAATAGGAAAGTTAAATCGGGATTGTCTAGAGAAGTCTAAAAACTTGGGAGGACACGGTCGCGAAAGGCTTTGAAAGACATACGCGGCACTATACGCTATAGTGCTAATTGTATCTCTCGTACGATCTTCGTGAGTGACGCATCACGTAAAAGGTCGAAATCACGTATGTTCAATTATGATCTGTAGCGAAGCAGAAACACGTGATTTTACGTCAAGCGCAGCGGGAGTTTCAGCTTTACGACGAGCTTGTGACGAGATATTAAAGGGGATCGCTACGGATACTGAACTGACTCCAAATTTCATGTTATCGAGCTTTGCTTACACAAATCTAAGACCAAGCCTGGGTAACCCGGTATTCGACCCCCTATGTTTTTATCGATGTTCAAAATATCCTGCGGTGACAAACTCGAAGTTGGACTGTCTTCGCCGAACCACTCTTGCCATTTTCTCACGATTCGGTCCTTGAGCACTTTGAACCAATCTCGTATTGTTTCTCCGAATCCAGTCGATCGACCACGAAAACCTGCTCCATCTACGACGTTTGAATTGAATAAAACGTTAAAAATTTATAGGGTTTATAGTAGAATTGGTACATCGCAATCTAGCAGCACAGTTTCATTACAACCTTGTTAAATTCTCTATTAATTTATACATTTTTGTGAAAATTGACGTATACACTTGATTTTTAACAAATTTGGTAACAATTTGGACGCACTGGATTTAACATTTTATTTTGCACGAAACTGGAAACTACATTCTTTACTTTTTTCTCTTGAAGGATTCAGGACAATTCATCTCAAGAGCTCGAGAAACTTAAATACATTTGATTCAACTATAATATCGATCGTATCAATCCTGCACTTAATTCTCCTGTACTGCAAAATGTATAATTGATATAGCACTTATAAACAACTACAATGTACACCACCTCTATCGAAAATCGGTGTCGGCGTAACGAGCTGACAGTTGAGGAGCAGCAGCAGCAGCAAGACACCTGAGAGCGGTCGCATTTTTGCGACCGGACAAACAACACCGCTCTGCGTGCGGGTGGACAAGTGCATGCGATTTTATATGTCCTCCGGCGGAAATGCATGGTATGACGATCTCGTTAGTGCCACAATTTTATCGGGGGATCAAGCCCGCGCATGCTAACGTAAACAAGGCCTTGTTGCGCTCGTTCCGATCCCGATCTCTCAATCGGTTGACCGCCGTCATTTTCGCAATATCTATGTAACTTACAACAATCCGAAGTACGTGGCGCGCCGGCAAGATAGATGGACAATCGCTCGTTCCGCGAACCTCGGGCCACGGCATCACGCTATTGTGCCGCGTTACGTATGAAGGCAAATTACATACGCTTATCCGTGATTACTCATGTGGGCTGGACCGACTGGCCTAAAACGGGCTATCAATTGATTACCCGTTTGCGCGCTGTTAATTCACGGTTCTACACGGGTTTCTACTGTTACGCTTCTGTCTGCGCTTCTAATGTTAGAAGGACCTTATTTTATTTCAACGTATCTCTGTTTAATATCGTTTTACGCTTTTATCGGCGCGAACGACAAATGATGCTCGGCTTGCCCCAACAAGGGCAATTTTAGATCCATAGCCCAAATAGCACATGTTGCTTTCATTATACGTTATTTGAACGTATGCAACGATACGTGCTATCTAGGAATCGACGCGCGACGTTTCGTCACTCAACGTAAGAACGTAGATGGTTTTTTAATAATAAGCGCATTGCATTGCAGTTCATGTTACAAGTTTGAACGTGTAACTTTAGGCTTGGATCGGTTTGGAAAACCCTTTGTGAATAGCCTACTCAGTCAACCCCCGAGCATCAGTTACATCATATCTATGTCATAATTTCGCACATGTTTTTATATTACATTTACATTGTTGAGTACGAAATTCCAACACTGATGCTCGGTGTTGACTGGGTAGAAACGTGTAAGGCGCTCGCTTTGGGAAAGAAACGCACTTCCCGTCGGGGAATGAAAAAACGTTCGGCGGAACATCAGCTGGTACGAGATTTAACGGGAATCAGATGATCTGTAGCTGCTAGAAATAACGAGCTATCTGATCTTTTGCGATCGACTATAAGTTTCGGTGATGGAAGTGCTGCGAGCTATTAATTTCATCATAAACTCCTGCTAATGCCTTCAACCACAAAGAGAGTCGCGTAGGGCAAAATAGCGACACGCGGAAACGCAGTTTTCCCAACCGTGGCTCGCCGTCGATCGACAGAATCAAGCCGACGGGTTTCCGTAGCGGGATATTTGCTAAATCATCGCCCAACTCGCCATGTTCTCGGGTTCCTGGCCCTGCAACACGCCACGCCTGGCGTGAAAAAAACTAATCGTGGACAGGCCGAAATAAAGTGAGATTTGGCCCGCTGCGTGCCGCGAGGAAAAGTGGACTCGTCCAGGATTGATCGGTCATTTCGCATTCGAATCTCTATCGTTTTTTCACGTATCCCTCAAGCATCAACCCTTCGAGCGACCGCTACTTGGCTACGCATCGTGTTTGGCTTCCAAGAACTTTTTATTGTGCGCATGAGTCTACCGTGAAGGAAACGAACGCTGACGCGACACGTCACGCGAGACAGTCCGTTCTGGGATCTGATGGCGAAGCCCGGACCAGCGAGCGTACAGAATCAATCGTGGCTGATCGAGGTCTCAGGTGAACGAACGTTCCTAGCGATAAGTATCATGAATATATCCCCCCTGATGTAGAATCGAGTCGCGCTGTAAGACGCAATTTGTACGCATATTACGCGTAATTTAGGGAGTCCAAAGTATCGCACGCAGGCGATATCTATATGTGCGTTTGGTTATGTTACGTAGACTAGATAAATAGATCTCGATAAATAGATCATAGAATGGGAATTTTCCAGTGGGCGAATCTCGGTATATAAACATATTGGGTAAAAAAAGTTGAGAGACGGGACGCGATAAAGTTCAACGGAAATTATCTTATCTCCTAACTTGGACTCGCCCATTGTTCTCGAGTCTACACTATACCGTCCAATCGTGTGATAGCACGCAGTCAACGCAGTGGCGGAACGGTAACCGTAAAGACCCATTACTTAATTATATATTTGATAAAAATTTTAGCAAAATTACATTTTTCAAGTTATATTTTGTTGAAAAATATAATTAAAGCGAGCTTAATTTCGGGCTCTTAAATTAAAGGTTAAAGAAGCTATAATTAACACAACGGACTTAGCAATATGTATTAACAGGATTAGCGAATCAATCAAGCCTTGGCGTTCAACAATATAATCAAAGACTAATTAAATAAATGAGTTTTTCTTATTGTCGAACTTTATTAATCACGAAATGTACAACAATGTTGTTAAAAAAATTGGTGAACATTAAAATTCACGTAGTTTACCCATATCTTTGGCGAGGAACGTAAGAAAACCTATCCACGATGATGTCCTCAACCCGATCAATATCCCTTAGTTATATATATATATATGTCTTAATCGAACCGGTATACAACCGCATTAATTGAAAATAAGGTATGTACATTATACTTTTATTGTATTTTTGTTGAGCATTACTGACTTTCGTTATAGCGTCTTTTTTCTACGCGAGGTGTCTTCTCTCAGATCGGTGTTTGGAAACGACATTAGCGTGTAATTGTTAAGTACAACCCGCCGACAAGATATCCCGGATACGTCGACTATTAGAATCGTACGAGTTATCATTCTAATGAATAACAGCCTTAATAATATGTGACGTTTCATTAATCGTTTCTAACAGAAATCTGGAAATCCCATCTACATCTTACAAAATATTGTTCACATGTCGATTTGATACTTGGGTTTTAGGATATGTAATACGTATCTCGATACGTCTCTCTTCTAAAAACGCAAACTTACGGGAATTATCGCGTTTTTAGGACTTCCCATCCTCTGACCCCATGATTCTACCCTGTCTTAATCCGCTGGCGCTTCTTCCCAACGTATAGGCTTATAAATTGTTAATTACGAATTGTGCCGCGATATCCATATCGATATAAGTATGATCCGGAAGGAATTTTTAGAGAACAGCAATTTATTTGTCTGATTAGTCTTTGATTGTATTATTGAACGCCAAATCTATGATTCACTAATCTTATTAATACGTATTGCTAAGTCCGTTTGTTTTAATTGTACTTCCTTAATTTAAGACTCCGAAATTAAGTTTGTTTTAATTATATCCTATATATCTCTTCTTCCTTCCTCTAAAATTATAATTAATATTAGGTAAGGCACGAGGCGAACGAAAATATCGACGAAGCAAATAATCCCAACTCCCAGTGGGTATCGGTGCCCATCGAGCCAGTATCGGGTATCCAGCCCTGCATCAGTTCGACAGTGGTCGAAGCTGGGTCGGGTTGAAGAGCTCAGCTCGGCACAAACGCGCCCGTCCTGTCCAATAAGGATAAGAGAAGGCGCAAATATACGGGGAGAGGGCAATAAAGAAGGGTCGTAGTGCGACGGAAAGAGAGGGACTCCGGACTATCGTCGTAGCGACCGTACCGAGTGGCGCGGAGAAAGAGGCATGCGGTCAGCGGTGTATGTAAGGTCCTAAAGAGAGACGCCAAGAATTCGCCCAGCCTGCAGCCATTGAGCTGATTGTGAGCTATTCCGATTCCGGCCAGCAACGGTTCGCGAGCAGCAGCACTACCAACGTTTCAGAGGGGATTCAAGTGCGATCTGTCTTTCAGCAGATTGCACTCTGTTGACCCTGTCCCAGGATGGCCGACGACGCCGCCGCCGCAAGCGTCCACGAGGAAAATGATGATGCGGCGACACTGGCATCGTCTTTCTGCCTCGTCGAATGCAAGACGGAGCCATGCACCGACTTGATCAACCCGCCCGACGAGGAACTATCGGTGTTTGTAAGTTTCCGGGAATCGATGGGTTTCCTTGAAATTCACATGTCGTGCCATTTACGCCTGATCGGAGTGCTTGTTATTAAAATTTTTAGAAAAAAAAGATGTGAAAAATGCTGCTGCGTCTCGCCAAAATCATTAACCACTGTTTTACCGCGCTTTTTATGTTTATGTTGGTTAGGCTACGATTTGATTGCCATTTTATATTGTGACGTGTTTAAATTTATTATTTAATGTTATTTATCAGCCACGTGTTATTCATCAATAAACGAGAACCTAATTTCTGCGATAATTAAGTTTTTGCTAGAAAAACTCCGATTACCAATTTTTTGGTTATATCTCTGGATATAACCAAAAGTAGTGCACGATCACAATGTAAATTTTATGTTTTTGTTTTAGTTTAGATTATGATATTGGAAAAAAACCAAATATATAATATAATTGAAAATATTATAAAAATTATATATTTTCTATTATAGGACGAATCCACACTACATATTCCGGTATCCATACCTATGATAAAGAATCCAATTGTCTTGTTGGAGAGATGTGATAAAATTTGGGAAACGTTACAATTGATAAGAAATATGCAGATTGAGAAGTCAGCAGCGCTAACCGATGATTGCGACAAGAATGAAGAGGAGAAAGAAGAGGAGAAAGAAGAGGAGAAAGAAGAGGAGAGAGAAGAGGAGAAAGAAGAGGAGAAAGAAGCGCAATGCTTGGACAAGGTTAAAGAGTCTCCATCGTACATCAGGTATCAACCTAGAAGAAGTGACTACACATTGCCATTGCCTTTTAAATTTTCTGTCCAAAGGACAAGGAAAGTATATCCTTGCACTACCTGTGGTAAGCAATACTTGGAGAGACGATCCTTAAGAAAGCATTCAGAAAGAGTACACGGAGTTGTTATTCCCTTACAACGTAGAGGTTGGAATCGTACCGTTTTAAAGAAGAAAAATGAAGCCACTTCAGTTGCTTCAATCGGCAAAGAAAATAATAGTGCTGAAAAGCTTTATGGTAATAAAGATTCACGTGAAAAGATTATTACAAAGACAAAACCTACCAGAACTGCAACTACTTCACCTCCTACATCGATACAGTTTGTCAAGTGTACATTATGTCAGCGGAAAGTACCATCTTTAAGAAAACATTTAATTAATTATCATAAAATAGGAGGTCCTTCAAGTGTGGTAGAACAGCTAGAATCGTCATTATTAAGTGAGACTACATCATCTGAAAATGAGAAAACTATATCAACAAATAAATCACATCAAGATGGACATCGTATAATGGACAATGAAAGTAATGCTCGTGGAAAGTTTCAAGTCAAGAGAAAGACAACCTATACCTCACAAAATGCTAGGAAGAAACTCAAGTTGAATAATGAATCCAATGAGTTTGTTCCGCCCACCGTCACGCAGCAGAAACAAAATTTAGTAGTACATGGTCGATTCAAATGTAACATTTGCTTGGGAAGATATTCATCTACACACAGTTTGGCCAAACATAAACGCATTCACAAATTTCGCGGAGAAACTAAAGAAAATTTTCATAAATTCCAATGTAGATATTTTAATTCGCCATTCAGTAAGAGATACAAATCATCAATTGAAGCAAAGTCTTCCACGATGTCAGTCAATACTGTTGCAAAGGACACTAGCAATATAGATAAAAGCAGTACATCGTTTAATCAAACTTCCAAGATTAATCGAGCAACCCGATACAGTGAAAGAATGAGAAAAAATGAAGAAACTACTTGTATATGTGGAAGATCATTTCGAAATCCTCATACCTTGTTCATTCATAAAAAGCATTGTGAATTATGTCCAAATGAAGATACTGCGACACAAGACAGCAGGGTCAGCAGTGATAGAGACTCTGGTATTGGCCTTAACATAACAATCAAGAAACGAAACGATTCTTATGAGATAGTTGGTAAAGATGATGAGGATAAATCTCAAAAGTCTGAAACTTCAAATCTCGAAGAAGACACTTCATCTCTGTCTCACACATCTAATTATGCCAAAGATTTTACAAAAGCGTTTACTACACAGCGAGTACTAGACACATCTCAATCATCCAAATATAGTAAAGATCATAGCATTTTGAAATTACAAGATGCAGATGAAGACGTAATCATCGATATTGAAGATGATCTACAAATTTCTCCTAATGAAGATAATATAGCGAAGCAGGTGATGACGCGAGAAGATGATAAACGGTATTCGCCAAAGCAGCAAAACGATGATGCAGAAGATGGAAAAACTGAAAGAGTTTTCAATAAAGTCATTACATTGAGACAAATGTGTCAAGAGGTTCTTGAAGTTCTTGATATGGGTGAACATGCGACATCCAGGAACACAGAAAATAAGAACAAGAAATATAGTCAGATTAAAGATCAAGAAACGTGCAAGGAAAATAGCCAGGTAAAAAAACAAGTAATACATCAAGGGAAGCGAAAACTACGAGCTAAACGATATCAGTATACCAGAGTGGAGTTGGATCACTCCTATGGAACAAAGGTCGACATGACGCATTTTGATCCATTGATGTGCGCATATTGTAAGGAACGGTTTAGTACATGTAAGTCATATGATAATCATCAGTGTACTGTTAATAATGGGAGGTCATTCGATGAATTTTCGCTACGGTTGCTGTGTTTCTGTTGTAAAGAGGTACTAAATAATTATAACGAATTTGACGCGCATGTGAGAAACAAACATTTTGATAAGGCGTATCATTGTTACCACTGTCCTGAACGATTCACGCATGACAAAGCACGATTGCAGCATTTTCATTCGGAGCACAACGATCTGCTCTGTAGATTTTGTAATAAAAAGATTTCTATTTCAGCAAAGGCCTTTCACGAGGGTTATCATTTAGGTTTCGGTTATCCCTGTCATAAATGTAAAAAGGCTTACACGAATAATAAGAATCTTTACTATCATAAACAAACGATACATTCGCGTTGGGCTGATAGCTTAATGACTTGTACTATATGCCTGAAATGTGTAAAATATAAAACTTTTAAAGGTCATATGAAAGCGCACAAGCATAATACATGTTATTTTTGTGGCAAAATGTTTTCCGATAGAGTAGGTTTAGAATATCACACCATGATGCAGCATGGCACAAATGTCAAGTTAAAATGTTATACCTGTGGTACGCGGTTTCATACTAAAAAACAACTTGAGATGCATGAGCAGATAGATGGATGTAACAATGATATACACAAAATGAAAAGGAAAGGATTCTTAGCAAAATCGCGCTAAGAATCGTTGAGGATATCTTTCGCTTGAGAGGAATAATACAATATGTATAGACGAAATAAACTAATTACAAGAATTGATATCTGGCACAATTAATTCCTTTACATGTCGGATCATTTTCAATTCACGTCCGATATGCAAAGATACGTTTATGTGTTAATATTATTTATGATGCACGTACACAAATTTCATATTTTGTTACACAGCTGACATGTGAAATCGCGAAGAATCATATGTATTGCGTTATTTTTATCTTATATCTGATACATAGGTAGTACTTTTAAAACGCCTGTATCTCTCATCTTGTGTTTCATTAATTATATAATTATATCATTTGCTGAACAATCAATATTCTATTGTATTTAGTCTGTATAATGCTAATACTTTGTAAACTCTGCAAACTGAATCTTGTACGCGGACAATTTTTGCTTTAATGGATAAATTCATAATGCGTTTAACATTTCTACAGAATCTGTCAACTTTAAGTTTACGAGACATTAGGATTACACAAACTATCCGTTCAATTGTAGTTGATCTGTAATTCTTAATATCTTCTATAAAACCGTAATGTAAGGGTGCGAAGCTCCTTTTGTAAATGATGTATCATTAAGAGACGACGATAGTTAATACTATTTGTAACAATTGTCACATATTAATATTAAACTAACATTTTCATTATTAAATTAGAAATGATAATAGAAAATTTATTAAAATATGTTTGACGCCACACCCGATTGCAGAAAAATGTTTTGAAAATCTCTAGTACATCATTTATTTTTAATGTTGTTGCTTAAGACGAAAATCCTAATAAACCAAAGGAATAAAAAATATAATCTTTGTGCATGTAAGACAAGTTTTTCTTCCAAGGTCTGTAATTGAATTTTATATTGCGCCATTCGTGATGATAAAACATTGTAAGGAACGCTATCGTAATAGCGAAGTTATAATTTTTATAGCATTACTTCTAATTAAATGTCGTTCCATCTCCAGCTTCTGTCAACTGGTGTATTGAAATGATATACTTAATGTGAGGCTTGGTTTAGTATTAAATATAGTTTTTTATTAATTAGCTAATATTGGCTTTATATTTGGTGGTAATTTTATATGTGTTATAGTGTAAGTACACTTAAAAAATTGTTTTAAATTCAGTTGACGCGACGATAATAAAATTGTTTACAAATTTGTACATACCGCGTTTGTTCCTAAATAGAATAAGAATTGTGAAAAATTGAATTTGACAGTTCACATTGATTTTTACCTCCAAGTTAGGAATAGGTCGAATAATCTATCGTACATTAGTAATGTTTTTCTCATCTTGTTGAAATGCTCTAAAAATTAATGACGTTTGTCGATGTCGTCGTAAAATTGTTGCACAATGTATTTATTCGATTTGCATACTATGTAAATCTCTTACACATATTTCTCTGGAAATTGAAATTTTCATTTTAGAATTAATGTGAGTTTGGATTATAAACACATTTAAAAGGAAAAATGTCATACATATATATTTTATTTCAGGGAGATCAATGAATTAATTAATAAGAGTTTCCGCGAGAGGCTATCGATTTTCTGTATAAAAAAAAATAAAAAAAAAGGAGAGAACAAAGTGTCGCACGGCGTTGCCGGCAGGTGCCGCGACGGGCGCGGCGTCGGCGTCGCCACTCGCCATCGCGGCTGACTCTGACAGCGCGGCGGTGGCGGCAGAGTCGGCAGGCGGCGGCGGCGACGATCAAAGCCGTGCGGAGTATCCGGGAGGGCGGTCGCGTTACGCTCGGTGCTTTCGTCGTCGCGCGAGTCTCTCGGAGTCGGTGTGTCGTATATACGTGTGCGCGCGCGGTCCGCGGCGGCCGGTCGATGTGAAAAGGAGTAGCGAAACGGAGAAGGCGGGCACGAGCGAAGGATGACGGCGCGGCGTGTGATTTGACAAGTGGAGAAGGTAGCGTTCGATGGGAAAAAGTTGTTGAATGCCGTTCAACACCGCGGTGGTTGACGGACTAGTGGACTTTAAGGTATCCGTCGCGCGCGCAACCCTGCGTGTGTGAACCCCTCCGGTTAGTGCTCTCTCTCTCTCTGTCTCTATCTCTCTCTCTCTCTCTCTTTTTCTCCTTTTTCGTGTCTATCTCTCACTCTTCCTATCTCTTTGTCTCCTGCTCCCTTTTTACGACCGCTCGCGCGTTAGGGCCAAAGCACATATGACAGTCGTAGTCGTGGACGTAAGTAACGCACAAGCTTTGGCGTATCTTGATTTGTCAGGTCGAGAACTACGACCGTCGTATATCGCTACGCCATGTTATGTGCTTTGGCCCTTAGGGTAGCGTCCGAACGTCGTAATCGCTCGATAGTCGTGCGGATTTGAGGCGCCGAGCGTCATCGAACCGCGGCAAACTCGGCCGAAGTGCGGGAAAAAGGGTTCGAGAGATCGATCGCCCGCGAAATGTACCGCCGCGCCGAGGAACCAGACGGAGAACCCCCGCGACGCCGCGCCGTTGACGCTAATATATTATATACATAACATACATACACCTAAATATATTTATACACATGTATCGTTATGGATATACATAAAAAAATAGATTTATACATGCATGTGTGTGTATATTTACGTATATATGTGTGATTTATGTATGTACGCGCGTATGCGTGTGCGTGGAACACGCCAGTGGAATCTTGGCGTGGTAATTGCGGGATGTGCCATCGTTTTGCACGTTCTCCAGGTTTTCCTGTTTCCCACCGACACGACCAATCGCGCCTCGCGCAATCCGGTTCGATCCGATCGCCGACGACCCGGAGCACGCATGAATGTTTGCCATTAAAGAATCTATCCCGCGGTATCAATCGCAGGGTGTCGTGTTTACTACGATATAGGCGTCAGTTTTCTGTCGACGCGACAAAATTCCAGCCGCAATTAAACCGTGACAATCGCCTCTCTCGGTTTCGATTTAACTTCAACCCTTCGTTTTTCGTTAGAAATTTTCGTTACCATGACTAAATTAGCGGATTACGAGAGATGCTCCGAGTTGGAATAATATTGAATCTTCAATTTAAGTGTCGTCAGTTCTCCAGTAAAGATTACTTGTGACTTACGTTACGTACGTCGATTCTCTTTCTTTTTCCAATGCGGATATATTATTTCGGATACTCTCGAATAATATTTCAATATTCTACATCAATATATTAATAATTAAAATATATATTAGTATATTATATTTAATATTCTAATATTAATTGACCCTCCTTTCTCTCCCCCCCTCTCTCTCTCTCTCTTTCTCTCTCTTTCTCTCTCTTTGGGTCCATTTCAATTCCGTTTTTAAACTGTTATTTAAGCGCAGAGAAATTGTGAATATAAAAATGACTAAAACATATGGGCGACCGTTTGGAGCGGAACGTATATCGAATGCGCGGCTGGGTTAAACCGACGCGCAGACGAAAGCGAAAAAAAAGCAGGAAAGAGAAAAACATGCGCTATTTTGAATTTCGGATAGTCTGCGCCTCGCGAGACGCCGAGAGACTCGTCCTCTCGAGTGCTCGAGCACCCGTGAACGTCGCGGCAGCCGGGACGACGCGACGGCCGCTTTTATCGCCGCGGCTCGGAGAGGCGCGCAGCGCTCGAACGGACACGCTCGAATCGATTTTCCCGGTGGTTCTATATACCGTCGACCGTGGTGCGGGCTTACCGCTCGCGTTGCGTTTCCGCGCGAGGGTTTTCCGCGATTCCTCTGCCAGCTACGGGGCCCCGTTATTTCGCTCCGGTGTCGTCGCGTGATCGCGACGACGGACGCTGACGACGCGCGGAGCCGCGTTTCGCGTCGGTATTATGACGTTAGGACCTCGTTCGTCCCTTGGCCCTCGTCAGAGAGCCCGCGATCCTGACCAAAGGTATCCCGCGTTCTTGTAAAAAAAAAAAAGAAAAAACTCGGAAAGCCCGATCTTTGCTTTTACGATTGTTATGTTAGACCAGTTGGACGATGGTTATTGGCGGCTCACTTGCGAAAAAAATCGTGGCGTGTGTTCTGAACGAAAGTATAGATCCCGAGCAACATGAACGTGCCAGGGTGGCGGTCGAAAGGTCTGAAAGACGTTCCGCATCTTTGAGATGATAATTTCGTATCTTCGTGTTGTTTGGCGATGTTAGCGGTAAGAATTGCACTTCGGGCGAGGCTCGGTCTTCTTCCTCCTCGGTGGAATAGCGAATGGGAGGATGGTGCTCACAATGTGCTTGTGAACCGTTTCGTCATGTACGGTTATACCACCCGTATCGTTTCGTGCCGACTAAAAATAGCGTTCCTCGAAGAACAACCAAAGTAATTCGGCCCGATGGAACCTCCCGTAACACACCGTGTATGCTCGACTATTTTATTTCATCGCCCACGGGAATTTAATTTTTAATCGCCCCAGCGAGAGGCGTGCGGAATCGCGATGTGGATCGAGTCCGTAATTTCAGATCTACTTTAAAGTTAAGATTGTGTTTGAAGTAAGGCTCAAGTTACCCCGAGCGATCCATTTTAATGCGAAACATCGCAAACTCGAGCTTTCCATGTGTTCCATTCCAATCTAATAAAAGCCAAGTTTCGGCTATTAATAGTCCGGATTCCGCTTCTCCGGGGGGGGGGGGGGAACGGAAGCCCTACAACCCCTACATCGAGGGACTGAAATAAATTACGCGTTATCGGTTAGGCGTCACGTTCGTCACTCGAAGCTCGCGCTTCGATCCTTCTCTGATCGGTTCTCGATCGGCCGCACAGATATCGGGATTCCGAGCCGTGGATCGAGGTTGGGAATTAACGAGCGGAAGTGTAAGCGGAACGGGTCCGGTGAGGACGACGGCGGTGGCGGCGGTGCGGCGGCGGCGGTGGCGTGGTTGAAGAGGGTGTGAGACAACGAGGGGGTGAATCGACGGTGAGCGACTGAGCGAAGGATGACGGGCGAGGACGGAAAGCGCGGTGGCGGTGGCGGTGGCGGCGCCGACGACGTTACCACCGGGACGAATATGAACACGAACGTCACCGACAACGCCAACAACGTTAACGCCAATGTTAACGCCAACATAAACGTCAGCCAGCAGAACGGCGGACCGGAAAAGGCCCCCGTAGTCGGCGGTACTAACGTGGAGACTCTGCCACGCACCGGAAAACAGGTAAGATTGATGAGCTTTTTGTTGAGGGGGGGGGGGGAAGCACCGAGAGTGATATGGATCTGGAAATCTTAGATACCGATGTAATTTGAACGAGCTTGATTTGAGCTCTTTTTTAGTTTTATCTACGACATATTAACGACGTGAGTAAAGAAAGAAGATTTAATTGAGGTTTAAATGCAATGCGATGCAAAAAAATAGTTAATTTGTTCCTTCGAGTTATCCATTTCATTTCTTTCTTCGTCACTAAGTATAATTTATTTTATCTAAAGTTCTATCTAATTGTAAGTTTGTTTTATCTAAATGCAGGCAACGAAGAGAGGAAGGTAGAACAAAAGTAATTCTTAAAATTTTCTATTTACTCTTGACAAAAATGTCGAAAATCATTTCTCAAATCTGCGAAGTAAAAGTAGGAAAGCTGTTTAAGTTTATATCATTCTCAGTGTTTCAGTTTTATATCAGGAAACATACCGTTGATGTCGGAACTAGCAATTTTACTAGTTTATATGCTGCGAAAGATTAATGTTCTTTGCAATGCGATGTTATAACATGTATATTGAATCGAAAATAATATTTTATTATGATAGAAATATTTCTCTCCATATATATCGCAATATTGTAGTAATTAAAACCACATAATTATATACAGGAATACCCATGTAATCATGTTTAAAAAATTTGCTGTGTCACGTAATACTCGAGAGTTTTCGAGGTACTGCATGGTGCGTTCGGATTAGTTTGTCACGAACATATGTATTTTTGGCCACGAGGGAAGTGGGTGGCATTATCGCAAATAATAGGCTTCGTATATACATGGCATCTAATAGCATATACGGGCTCGTATTCAACCGTTTTGCCGCATGTCAGCTCGCAGTTTCGATTGCGTGGGTAAAGTGCGAGAGGAGGGTTCGGTACAGCTGTACTCTCCCATTTGACACTCTCTTCTCTCACGCGCCACGTTTAGTTTCTTTGACAAAAAATTTTCTGCATGAACAAATTTTTATTTATCTTTTTCTGCTCTTGCATTACTTTTTTTCAGAAATCCAAAGCGGATGTATCCGGTCATCCAGTCATGTCGCGATAAACAAGCTAATATTAAAGCATCTGTAGTTTCGAAATATATTTTGCCGAGTGTTTCGTAACTTGAACTGGACAAGGCGATGCTGTTCGCCAAGGTTCCCATTCATAGAACACGCGGTGCTTACGGAGCTCTATTTGTTGAACATCTGAGAAGGCGTCAACAGGGCGACCGCCTTTGTCGTAGATCGTTACGTCGACCGCGTTAGCATGCAAAGCGATCATTAAGACGAAGTGGCCGGCCGATTGTTGCGGCCTAAAGGTCACGGTTACTCCAGGACGTAGGCTGCTGCGAAGGTAGCAGCGCACCGCTAGGTAGGGGACGTACACGTGCCCGTGTTCACGGTACCGCAGATCCTGAACGTTCCTCTCCGGGATAGAGAAAAAAGTCCCACATCGAGTGGGCGCGCGCGATTCCACGGGAAACAGAAAGGTCGCCAGGTAGAGAATGTTAGACCGCTTCGTTAATTGCAGTTTTTTCCGGAACACATACGTGTTTGTTGTTATGTCGTTAAGTACAAAAATAGTAAAGTACAAAAGCATTAAGTATTTGAATGGTGTGTCTCGGTAGTTTGAAACACGAGGGGTAGTATAAGACTGAAGTACTTTGTTTCGTTCTAAAGAGAGCCGAGAGCAAGTTGTTAAGACGGTAGAATTTGGACAAGGTAAGCTTCTTACCTGAAGACGACATGCGAGAAACCGGTTGTGACATAGATCAAAATAAACTGTGAGTCAGAAAACGATTCCATTTTTAATTCACGTCTTTAATTTCTCATTTTAATCTCAAGTGAAAGATTTGCCTTAATTCATCTTTTTCGTAGAGAAATAAAAAAATTTAATAATTAAATTTTCTACTCCGTCTCATCTCCGCATCTTTGAATATTTGCATTTATTGCTTAAATACCTTTTGCAGCAGATACATCTGTGAGTATTTAAATGCACATCTTCTTAGATATTAAAAATAAATATTTCCCACAACCCTGTCTTTATCCTACATTTATAATCTCATTCGTGATTATATTTATGATTTTAAGAAATTTTTAGTTGTGCGTTTGCAATTTTGTGTCGCGCGTGTCTGAACGTAGTGCATAAGTTATTATAGTAGATCTTTAAAGAATATATATGTATGTATCCATATATTTCATCGATGTGGGTAGAATTAGCTGATAAAAAGAGAAATTTATGATACTTTCAAGTTTATTAGGTATATGTATATTTTCGTCGCTGTGCTGCGACAAAAGTCAAGGCTCTTACGCTAATTAATGAGTATTTCTCTGCTGAAACAGTCGTTGCTTTATTCTCTAAAAATGTGTCGTAACGAGCGGTGTCCACCGCGCGTAACTCGGTGACCAATTATTTCATCCTGCCTAATGTTGTGATGTCATACGCTATGAACGTCGCTGACTCTTCAGTTTAACAAACGTATCATCATTTCTCTTTGCAGAATCTCAGAGATCAATTCGCGAATTAGATCGTTAAACGTGGAAATATAGAATGTATATAGGTCTGACGCTATCTCGTATACAGGGTGCGGCATCTAGTACGATTATGTACCTATGGGTAATTAGAAAGGTAATAATGTAGGGTAAAAAAGCAACGTTTTCTCATAATAAAATGAATAAAGTCTTTATTAATTATTTTTACAATAAAGATATATGTCCTATAATGATAAAGAAAGATAAAGATAATGCTAATAAAACTAGAATTGTTTGAGATTCATATTAGCACAATTAAAATTCATGTTCAACTTATCGCTGCGACTGAGGCGCGGCATTGAGACACAGAACGATAAACAATATAACCGATTGCATATGCAGCGTCGCTTATCGAGAAAGTGTTCAACGCGCAGTTCGTCGTACCTACTACACGCGACGATTCCATTGACTCGCGTTTCGATCCGGCTGTCCGGCATGCGCCAACAGTTAGCCGCTCTCTATGTACACATTCTGGACTCTGGGATTACGTCATAATTTCACCGTGGACCTTCGCCAAAGAACCTTGAACAATGTCTCGAGGCCACGGCTAACCAATCCCGAAGAGAGATCCGAGCGCGTATATATTTCTCCGCCATCATAGATAAAAATACGTTTCCGTCGAACTACGTTCGCTGTTGAGTCATGTTGTTAGATAGTGAATTGATTAATTGACCAAGGCGCAACGACTGGTACAGCTAAAAGATTGGTAGTCGCGAGATTGCGTGCCCTATTCCCCATGTAAATCAAGGCTGCCACGGTTTATCGTCAATATCTCTCGTCCATGAGGCGATTGTACAAGAGGTCTTAAAATTCGCGAATTGAAAAATTCCGGAGTATTAAATTTATGTTACAAACGACGGAGAAGAAGGGTCTCTTCGTAATGTGACTGTATTTTAAACAATTAGACACACCAAGGCACTCCTCCTCTAGTTCTTCTTTCTATCTTTAAATTTAGAGTCCACTCTCCAAAGGTTCTTGCACGCTAGAGAATCCGTCATTGAAATCGAGAGAACTGCGGGGGACTCATTGCGGGGGTTCGAACTAATCGGATTAGAAAACGGCACTGCCGGTTTGCCGGTCGGATTTGAAACCATATCCGTCCTTCAGGATGTCGGCGTGCGCAGACAAAAAGACACGAAGGTGGTGCTGCAGCGATCACGAATCTGGGTCAGTCGCGACGCATTAAGGGGGGGTTTTAGACCACGTCCGGCAATTCCTTGTGTTCAACAGCAGCCAGACTGTCGTTTCCGTGATGCGCTTTTAGGGGACGACTAGGTTGTCAATCAGGTTGACGCGCGAGTTACATCTGATTGCCCGTAATAAGACGGTACATGCAATAACATCACGCCGCACGTACGTTTTCTACGGTATGTCATTCCTCTTCTGTGAAATATCGTGGGCACAAATGCTTAAAGTATTCGAGTAAATTATTGAAGATTACGACACGATCTTACATCTGATTTGAAATAATTGCTATATAAGATTAAAAACATATGAATTTATTTATCCTGGAACGAGTCTCCTAAAAATACACACTGCAGGGAATGCAAACAAGATATAAAATTATAACGAGAGTATAGTTTGGAGTTTGGAGTATTCCACAAAATTAAAGGACATATAATTGAGTTAAAATTAAAGAATACATCAAAGTTCTTCTAGTGACTGTCAATGGGTATTTTGAGGAAACGTCTGCTAAAATTGGTGTTTCCACGTAAACTCCCACGATCTGCACAGCGATCGTTGGGAGTATCTCGCGCTTTAATAATGATATTAATAAAACGACATTTGCATTATTCACGACGCAATCGAATAAACAATTCAGGCGATACCGAAGCCCAGCGGCAACCGTAACGATTTTTAATAGTATCCCGTGTATCGATCAGCGAGAGTCCATCGCACCGTGCCATTTTTACGGTTGAAGCTGTACGCGTGCATACGCGGAACGCGTTATTTTCCATTCGTCGATTCCTCGCCGGATGAGACCGCGTTGCGAAACCGCAGGCGGTGTACACATGTACGTGTCGCGTCCCTTCCGCAACGGTTGCAAAGGTAGACTGAAAATAAACGTTTTCGCGCCGGTAACGCTGCTGCAACGTTGCGGAATGTGAGGCGGCTTCACGCTTTACGCTAGATAGACGGTCCACGGTGCATCGCTGTGAAATTTTGCTTCAACGCGTTTTAACTCAAAATCATCGAGTCATCAAGTTCATCAGCTGGCGCACACGGGTCTGAAAGCGATTTATTGTGATAGAATAACATTAAACTGGAACTGCTTGTAATGTGTTTTTTTTTTATATGAAGATTACAGAAATGATGTTCATATTGTATTCTAAAAAAAAAAGATAATTTAAGTTTGGAACATTATTGATTCTAAAAAAAAATTAGTGCTATGCTTATCAATAACATATAACATATGTGAAGATAATTAATGGCAAGGAAGGAATGCCTTTT